TTTATTCAAAAATAAAAACATTATCGCTTTCTCAAAATTACATAAAGCCATATTATAACATCGACTGAGATAAAGAATAAAATGAAATATTAAAAACACGATGTATCTCGCTGCATTGCGCGAGTACGCTTCTAGTTTATTTAAATGGGTTAGGCGGGTTGACCCATTTATTTAAATGAGTTGAAAATCTCAACCCAACCTGCTAATTTTGGGTTGGGTCATTTTTTGTCGCCCCTGATCATATTAGATATTGTTCGTTTTATCCATATATCTAGACTCATAGTTTTAAAACGTATATGATAAAAAATATATTCAATTCTTTATAAGATAACTTTAATTCCCCTCTCCAACTGATACAGATATGACCATAAATTACTTGTAAAAGGAATTTAGGTAACAAAAGGCATAAATACATAAAATGTTAGGTGATTCGTTGGAATTGGAAATGAGTGGCTGCACCAAAGCCTTCGTAGCCCACAAAATATTGGGCTAAAAATGAACCATCGCGTTCAATTCATCCACCACTCGTCCTTTGCTTGCCGTGCACCCTGCCCACTTTCCTTCCTACTTTCCTCAAATCAAATCGAAATTCAAAAAACACGAAAAAATAAATATAAAATCGAATCCGAATGTGACGTCGTTTGATTTATGGTTAAAGAGCCAACTAAAAACACTCTGCAATGATTCGGTTTATTTTATTCAAATTCTTAAAAGTAATTTTACACAGGTATTTTTATGTTAACTGTAGATGTACGGATTAATTTGTGCGTATCTCGATTAATTTTAAGGATCCTTGAGAACAGTCAGAAAAATTCTTAGTGGCCTTGTATAACTCAAATTGGTGGCCAGATCTAATGCATATCTGTTAAAATTCGAAGATGTATGTAATTACTTCGTACTTTACGAGTTCTTAAATCTCTTTTGAAATTAAGTCATTTGATGTGATACGTTCAGGATAACCATCGAGCTGTATTAAAATGATATAATTCTCTGTCATTATTTTTTATAAAAAAATGCAAAAATAAATTAAATTTCATTTTTAAATCTAAAATGTTTAAATTATAATACAAGAAAGGTTATAATATTTTATTTTAATACTTATATCGATATAATTATGAATGTTTTATTACTGGATCTTTAAATCATCAAACTTGTTCAATTAGTACTCGTAAGTTTTATTTATTCAAACATAAATTTTAGATTTATTAAACAAGAAGCTGGTGTTATTATTAAAGATGATTATAAAATATTTGACAAAAACTCTTAAAATCGTTTTTATGCATAAAGTACTGTTTATTGATCCATATTACTTCAAATTCAATATTACAAGTAAATTGTGCGTAAGTACAATTTCTTAAAGTTCCATTTGACTTCGTGTAACTAACTGTGGATAAACATAATCAAATAGATGATAAACATCTTATTTTAAAATATAAAAAATCTAAAATATAATTAGGATAATTATTAAATTTTAACAAAATAATTAATTATTATCTTTATCGATATATTTTTGTCAATTTTTTATGATATCTTCAAACTTATATTTTATTCAAAAATAAAAACATCATCACTTTCTCAAAATCACATAAGACCATATTATAGCATCGACTGAGATAAAAAATAAAATGAAATATTAAAATTAAGATGTATCTCGATACATTGTGCGAGTAGCCTTCTAGTTATTAAAGATATATATTATTTTATAGTTAAATATATAAAAGAGTAAATTACGTTTTTCATCATTATGGTTTATTAAAAATTGTAATTTTCATCCTTGTCGTTTTTATCACTATCGTTTTCAATTCATTATTATTTTCATTCTTGAGATTAAGGAGCCGTTTACCAAACGCTTACCCAGGTAAGCGGTTACCAAGTAATTTTATCTCACCGCATGAATATGATAAAGACCAAAAATCTTATCCGGTAAGAGCGAGATAAAGACCAAGAGTTTTACTCAATAAGTGAGGGCGACGACTCTAACCACGGTAAACGCTTAGCGGATAAATTGTTGCATACGATGTTGTTTTGGTGGACTAAAATCTTACCCGGTAAGTAAATAATAATGTTAAATTATATTTGTAAGCACTTACCGGGTAAGTGTTTGGTAAACGACCCTAACTCCTACGTTTAAATACGAGAGCCGAAAACAACAAATAATTGTAAACTACAATCACGAAAGCAACATTAAATTTTAAATAATAAGAACAAAAACAACATGAATTGTAAACCATATGAATGAAAATCATGATTTCAAGCATAGAAACAAAATAACAACCGTTAATAAACCGAAAATAGTAAGTGTTAAAACACAATTTACTCTATACAAAAATATAAACTTACATTAGAGTAAATTACATGTTTAGTCCCTATAATTAAAAGGCTATTTACTAAACGCTTACTTGGTAAGTGCTTACTGATAAATTTCTTCATTGGATGAACATCACAAGGGCCAAGAATCTTAACGGGTAAGAGTGATGAGAATGATGGAGAGTCTTATCCGGTAAGTGAAGATGACGACTCTTACCCAGGTAAGCGCTTACCCGGTAAATTGTTGCATTCAATACGTTTTGATGTACTAAAATCATGCGCATCAAAATAAATTATAGTGTTGACTCTTATCAGTAAGCATTTACCGGATAAGAATTTGGGTAAACAACCCCAGGTGTTTTTAACATAACTTGTCCATTTTCTGAAAATTTAACAGATAATATTATAATGGTTGCATTTTTTAATAGTTTGGTCCTTAGATGAATCAACAACCGGATCTCCATGGTTATATTAAGGACCCGACTTGTTGTAAAAGTGCAACCTTTTAGGCACGGTCCGTTGAATTTTCAGAAGAAAAAAAAAACACAAAAACCGTTAAAAGAACATATGAACGTAGGGACGACATATGTAATTTACTATTTACTATTTACTATTTACATTAATATTTATTGAATCACGAGACGAATGAATAATGGCATTTGAGTAATTAAGGTAAAAAAGTAGGGGTAATTGTGGTATATAAATTAAATTGTGAGCCCATTCTCAGCAGCATTAAATCGTCTCTTTTCCGATTTCTCGGCGCTACCCCATTTGTTAGCGGCATCACGCACAGGCACAGCCTTCTTCCACCAGAGAATCAGCTTCAGCTTACAGTGATCATACGTATAGATACATCGATATATACATATACGGAGATATGTGGCGGTCTGTGTCACGTGGCCTTCGCATTCCATCCCGGAGATCCATCTCCGGCCACTCTATTTCACAAAGATTCTTCTCTTCCCAATCGGTATTGTATATATTTTTTTGGATCGATTTAAGTTTAGGGTTTTGTTTTGGAACTGAAATTGATCTACGTTATATCGGATTGAATCATGCAGTTATTGTTTTTTGTTAATTTATTCGTGTGCAACTCTTTTCACGGTTAATTGTATATGAATTATTCGATTAGTTGTTGTAATTGAAGGTTTTTGGTAAATTGTGAATGCTATTTGGATTTATTTGTGTAAGTAGGCTTGGAGCTGTATTTATTAATTGTTTTGCGATTGTTTTAAACAGAATACAGGGCGGTCATCGTATACTATTGTAGATCATACATATGACGCTGTTGTGGTCGGGGCAGGAGGGGCTGGACTTCGAGCTGCTATAGGGCTCTCTGAGCATGGATTTAATACTGCTTGCATTACCAAACTATTTCCAACACGTTCACATACTGTTGCTGCTCAGGTTTGTTGGTCTTTTAATCATTGGGTTTGGTTTCTGTTACTGGTTTAATATATGTTATGATGATTTAACCTTGAAAAGTTTGGAACTTTAGTGAATGAAAAGAAGCCAAATGACACCTTATAGGATTCATGTGATCACACTCATAGTTGTTACTTTTCCATGGCCCAACAGCGCTGGGCTTGGATTGCCTTGAGAACTCATGGCGAAGTGCTAGCCTGTTTTGAGAAATTAGGGTTGGTAAAAAAACGGCAATTTGAGGCTCAATGGCATGAACCTAACCAAGGGTGGCTTAGAAAGTAAAAGAGGTAAAAGATCCCTAATCACACTAGTGGAGAGAGGCAAAAAGAGAGAAAGAGGAAGAGGAGAAGAGAAGGAGAGCAGCTTGAATGTGGTTGTATACTTGTATGCTCAATTATCACCTCAAAAGTTTGCTATGACTATATGTGATACGTATGTGTATATGTCCTATCCAAAGGTGTCCCCATTGATTGCTGCATATTTATATGTCAATATGTGTTTGTGTGGCTCTATACATAGTTGGTTGTACTCAATACTTTGCGTGTGTGTATTAGTTACCATTGGTCACAATATTTGATTATCTCAACTCTAAATGTGCATCATAAGCCATGTATATGATATGCTAGATGATTATTAGATATTAGAGCATTAAAGTTCACTTTAGACATCAAGTGACGTTGAAGATCAGCTTACAGAAGACGAAAAGTGATATGACATTTTCCATGCTCTTAGCCATCGATATAATGTTGGTTGACAAGACTAGACAAGATGCTGGATGCAAAGTTGGAGGTTTGAAGCACTTTGAATTCAAAGGCTTTAGATTTTACTAAAAGAAAATGGAGTATATGAAGCACAACTTCACCTGTGTTGATATGGAAGCTGAAGATGCATAAGAATTGCCAGACAAGAAGTGATTTAGAAGGGTATCTTTTGTTTTTTACATCATTGCCAAAAATGATGAGAAGTGATAAAGTTTTCTTGGGGGCTTTCACTCAATAGTAGAAGCAGAAGAGAAAAATTACTGACTAACAAGGACGAGCTACAAAAATATTCTCGCTGCTAGCATCATCGAAATTCATATAGGCATCATTGCATCAATCACTACGAAGAAATGGTAGGGAAAAAGCCACCTAATTTCTTAAAATAGGGGGCTTTCACTCATCAGATCAACCTTTTGTCCCTGTGCTACAGTTTGAGGAACCTTAGATGCTATGGGGGTAAAGTATCGTCAACAAGGGTGTTCTAGTGTGCTGTACTTTCTTATCCAAGACTAGTATCATTTGATGATGCCATGTGAATCACCACTAGGAAATATATTTTTTTCTTACTGCAAATCAATTCAAGGCTTCAAATTCAGGAGAAAATCATAAGAGGAGCAGAATGATTGAAATGGCAACAAGTTCAAGGATTCTTGTGCTACTGACATGCCCCGTACTCCCATTAAGACTGAAAAGTAGTTCCAATCGTTTTAGAAAATTTAATAGAGATTCGAGATGGCAGTAAGATCTATTAGTATTTATGTGACAATGTGACAATGTTGGGCGAACAAAAGACAACATGTATGTAAGGTATCTGTAATGTAAGTACAAAATGCTTAGATGGATGTGCCATACACTGAGGCGTACAGTTAGAAATAAAGATATGCAAGAGTTGGTTGGGGTGGCACTTGCACCTGAGGCAACACTGTCTGAGGTGCTTCGGTCATCTCCAAGGTATACAATCAAATGCACTGTTCAAAAGGGGAAACTTGTACCAAGAAGAGGCCCCTTAAGAGGTGGAAGTCAACCAAGATCGACTTGGAAAGTGGAGAGGGATTTGCATTTGTTCATAGGAAAGAGTTAGCATTAGGTAGAAGTGCATGGAAGGACGCCATTCATGTCCTGGAACCTTAGGGGATTTCACATTGTTATGTTTGCTCCTGGGTGGACTGTTCTAATTGTTACATTTCTTAGCCACCCTGCTAGTTTGGAATAAAAAAGTTTCTTGTTTATTATTGTAAGTTTATTACACCAATATTAGTTTATTACACTAGCACTAGGAATTTCTTTTAAAATCGTCATTGTAATAACCAAACCAAGACTTACGAACGCAATATATCGCACGTCATTATGGCAGTAGTTTTTGTAAATATCACACGTTTTTGGGTAATGTTTTGTATGGAAATTTGGCACGAGTGTTATTGTATGAATTATATTGGGAAAACTCACCATCTTTTTTATGTAGTTCAATGTGCATCAACGGCAACACCTTTTTATTATGATGCTATACCGTTATGATCATTGTTCAATGTGCTTTTGAATAAGTTAAATACAATATCTAAATTGCACAATTTGATTTCTTTTACCTTGAGGACAACTTGGTGTGCGAGCGGTCACCATGGTGTCCCAGTAGTCGACTACTGTTATGACTTGCTATGACATTATAGCAACTATGGTCACACTACCTTGTTTTACCTTTTGTTTTTGTTTCACTTCATAGAACAGAGGCAGAAAGTTAGAATAAGCAATATAAAAGGAATGCTGATAACAGGATCTGTGATTTCCAAAGAAAGTATATCATTGAAATTTTAATTTCAAACGTTGGCCAGTTGACACTCATATTATTGGAACAGATGCGATAGTTTATGCTTAGGTGAAAGAAGATGCTTCTTTTCTGCAAAATAATTTTCATTAACCCAGTATTACCTCCTGATCAAATACCTTGGTTATGGGAAATATGATATTTTGTGCTGGAACACGAAAAGTTCAAGGTTTAGGTTAGTTTAGTGATAAGATCTTCACAAATTAAGTACTTGTTAGTGGCTGTACTGTGCCTTATTGTTTTGGTAGTGTCTAGTTGTGCACTTGTGCTCGGCTTGATGTACCAAGCTATTTTATTAATCTTGAGATGGATGTATTAAGCTTTTAAATTCTCGTGTTTGTGATAAGGCTTGCTTATCTTTTAATAATACATGCAGGGGGGTATAAATGCTGCTTTAGGAAACATGACTGAGGATGACTGGAGGTGGCACATGTATGACACAGTGAAGGGAAGCGATTGGTTAGGTATTTTCTCTTTTCACAAACTGAGATTTTAGCCTGACTCCTAGTATATATATGTAAGACAACTCATTGCATGCAGTATCGAGGTTGAAGCACCAAATACTTGTATTAGTGTTGATAGATTATTTAATTTGTGGCAGTGTTTTCTTCTTCTTCTTATGTTTGCTCTATTTTGTATATTTAAAGAAAAGAAAAAAACTTGTAGCATACCACTTCTGTTTATCATAACACAAGTTATCTGAATTTCTGTAGGTGATCAGGACGCTATCCAGTATATGTGTAGAGAAGCACCAAAAGCAGTTATCGAGCTTGAGAATTATGGACTACCATTTTCTCGAACTGAAGAAGGAAAAATATATCAACGTGCATTTGGTGGTCAGAGTCTTGACTTTGGCAAAGGTGTGACATGAAGCGATGTTGGAATATAGTCGCCTATACTATTTGAGGAAATCTGGCTGCCTGTAACTTCTTTCATATTATAATTGTAGGTGGACAAGCTTATCGATGTGCATGTGCTGCTGATAGAACTGGGCATGCACTGTTGCATACGTTGTATGGTCAGGCCATGAAACATAATACACAGTTTTTCGTTGAATATTTTGCTTTGGATCTACTCATGGGCAGTGATGGTATGTCAAATTACTTTCTCCCATTATTTTAAATTCACGTGTCTTACGTAATCAGATATTTTTTGTGGTTAAGGATATGCCAGATATATGCATAGAAGATAACAATAACTTTTGATCTTATCACCTAAGGATACATGCTACTGGATGGTAGCCAGATCTTTTTTGGTGGTAGTTCACTCTGACCTAAGAAGAAAGTTGGGAATCAAAATTTGTGTTAAATAGAAAGCAGTATTTCATACAGTGATTGATAAGTACAATTTATTCAAGCTGTAGTCTGCAGTGATCTTTTTGGGTGTGAGCTTTGATTACCTTTCTTCATAATAGAATTCTCTCTTATTTGCCTACTAATACTCATGAGCACGAAACTTCAAATTATTTATTCTAGGCAAATTAAAGCTTTTTTCTGTGATTTATATCTCCTGTGATTACCTCTTGGTTCTTTGCAATGCATGAGAGCCATTTTGAAAGATGAATAAAATTTATGTGTCTGCAGGCTGGGTTCATTAAATAGATTCATTTTCAGCTATGATGCTGTCATGTTTGTATGTAGAGAACTTATTTGTCATATTATTCAATTTGTATCAGGCAGCTGCCAAGGAGTTATTGCACTGAACATGGAGGATGGGACATTGCATCGATTTCGTTCTTCTTCTACAATCCTGGCAACTGGGGTGAATATCAATTAAACTTCTCTTGCTCATAGATTGACAGCTATATCTTTATCTCGCTCTCATTTTTATTTTTCTCTCAGGGCTATGGTAGAACATATTTCTCAGCAACCTCTGCTCATACTTGCACAGGAGATGGAAATGCTATGGTTGCACGTGCAGGCCTACCTCTTGAGGTATACGACAATTTGTTTCATCATGTTCATGGTTTTCAAACTGATGTTTGGTAGCATCGGCATTTTGAGCCATTACTTCTTTTTTCAGGATCTTGAGTTTGTACAATTTCATCCAACTGGTATATATGGTGCTGGCTGCCTCATTACTGAAGGTTGGTTCCCTCTGAATTATAGTGCTCAGTGTTGATGAGATAAAATTTGAAGTTTGAGTATATATTTCATTTGTTTTATGCAATGTGCAGGATCTCGTGGTGAGGGTGGTATTTTAAGGAACAGTGAAGGGGAGCGATTTATGGAACGTTATGCCCCCACAGCCAAGGATCTTGCATCAAGAGATGTTGTGTCAAGGTCAATGACAATGGAAATCCGAGAAGGTCGCGGTGTAGGTATGTTCCATGACCAGCCTGAACTCGACTGCCTGTAGTGGGTCATTTTCTGCACTAGTGAGATGAGTATGAGGTCACTTCTCATTAGGGTATTGCAATAATGACATTAAAATGTCCCAACAAAAGTGTAATGAAGTCTCAAATTCAAATGCACAATGATCTCTCAGAAACAAAGGACTCAAGAACTAGCGAACCTGATGCTACTACCTGTTAATGAATGATGCTTCTGTCATCCCCTTTTTTAGCAGGTGATCTAGAGGCAACAGAAGGAGGTCTTTTACTTAACATGACTTGTTTAAACTACATGTGGCCAAATCACATGGAACGTGGAGCAATCTTTAAGCTTCTACCTAACAAAATGCAGCTGTATAAAGCTAAGCTCGCATCAGTAGCTCCATTGCTAAGCGTCTGCACTTGAGCAACGCCACAATCTGCTATGGTGGTTGTCACTAGACTTTGTAGCCACTTAAATATCACTATAGGATAAATATCCTCTAATCTCACCAGAACTTATTCTTAAGCAGCCAGTTTCAATCGGCCAACTGTTTTGGTTTAATAGGACCCAAGTCATAGGGCAACTGAGTTTTACTTCTCCATGTCATTAACAATGTTCTAGCCTTTTTGTTATCTTAGTTCTTGAGAAACCTGTAAGTTTTAGTTCTTGAGAAACCTGTAAATTGTCTTCACTTAAACAACTGCTCTGCCCTCTGAGTTAGAGGTAAGGATTGCGTACATCCCACCCTCCCTGCTTTCGAGCGGAATATACTGGGATTGTTTGGTTTGGCTAAAATATGATTGGAATTGCAAGTGTTATTGTTCAGAAGCATAGGTGGTTAACTTTTAGCTGGTGTGTGATTAAATTTCGATTTTATATCTTTCACCATATTTGAAGCTCTATCCTTAGACTAGAGATCAAGTGTTGAATGGGCTGTAGACGCTCATCGGAATATTCAGCTTGAAGTACCACAAACATAAACATTGCACCGAAAGTGTATTTTGGTCTCCTATGTTTACTTTCAGAGGTTTAAATCCTTTGTCTTATTAACTGCAGGCGCATTTTAGTCATATTAGGTGACTTTTTCTTCAACTTCAACACCCCTTTTTCCTTCATCTTCCCCATGTTCTTTTTATGGTGACTAGACATAATTTTACTTCTTGTTTGAATCTCAAGTGCTTCTGGAACAATTGTTTTTCTGTCAAATGATTTGGAAACCTACCTAGACAACAAGGAAAAAGAATATGATGTTTGTTGGCCTTGTTTCATGCCACTGTTCGAATTTCACCAACTATATGTGCTTCTAACCCCAGTTTTTTTTAACAGGACCCATGAAGGATCACATTTACCTTCACTTGAATCACTTACCGCCGGAAGTTCTCAAGGAGAGACTTCCTGGTATTTCTGAAACCGCTGCCATCTTTGCTGGCGTTGATGTCACAAAGGAGCCAATTCCAGTTTTACCTACCGTGCATTATAACATGGGTGGTATTCCAACAAATTATCATGGGGAGGTAGAGCTGATATCTAAAGTTGTTAACATCAAACCTGCTGTTTTCAAATGGTAGATATATTTGATAGCCTCCTTTTGACTTATTAACCTCTTCTATTATTGCAGGTTATTACCATTAAAGGTGATGATCCTGATGCAGTTATTCCTGGACTGATGGCTGCTGGAGAGGCAGCATGTGCCTCCGTTCATGGTGCCAATCGGCTTGGTGCAAATTCCCTTCTTGACATAGTTGTTTTTGGTCGAGCCTGTGCAAATAGAGTTGCAGAGATCCGTAGGCCAGGTAAGGTCTCCCACGTGTGGTGGAACATTAAGACTGAGACAGGACAAGACTGAGTCCCACCAAAACAGGTGGAAAAAAATCAGGGAGAAGGGAGAAGATTAGTAAATCACTAAACTACCCATGACAAATTAAATCCATAAAACCTTTGCCAATTTCTGTCACCCGCTTACGTCACTCTTGCCTGTGCGGTCGAGTCCTGTCATGTCAATGCAGCCTAAATTTCGCACATATAATTGATCTAAAATTTGCATCGCATGGCCTCAATTTGTTGTTCTACAGGTGAGAAGCAAAAACCATTAGAAAAGGATGCCGGAGAGAAGACTCTTGCATGGTTAGATAAGATTAGGAATTCAAATGGTTCACTTCCTACCTCAAAGATCAGATTGAACATGCAGCGGATAATGCAAAATAATGCTGCTGTTTTTCGGACTCAGGAGACATTAGAAGAAGGTACACCACACAGGCAAATTTACTACATATTTTTTCCAAATAAATACATTGGCAAGGATATGGATCCATTTGCTTAGTACAATTTATTTCATGTCCGTTCTGTGGGTATTATCTCCATGATGCAAGATAAATGATACAGGACCCATAATATAAAAATTGCAAAATGGAAGAAAAGGGTTGGACCAATGTTTTTTTCTTCTTCTTACTTGACCTGTGAAACAAATACCAGAGGGGGTGAAATTTGTGTCGCTTCTCAATGATGTACCCTGACGTGGGTTCGTCGGTATGACTCAGTTCAGTAAGGGATCTAAATTTTTCGGTGATAGGGGGCGGAATATAATTAACAGAAAATAGAAATACAATGAAAGTTGAATAAAAAAGTATGGAGATGGGAAACAACTTAGATTCTACAATGAAGGCCTATTGAACCGATCTGAAGCTTAGAAATGGATTTGGATTTGGACTATTTTTTATTGGGGTCAGCATATTTTTTATGGGGGCAGAATAAGGTTAATATATATATAATAAATAAAATTTAAAATGTAATTTCTTTTTAAAACTCATGGGGAGGAGCTGAACACCCCCCCCCCCCCCACAAATGCCCCCGCGCCTCTTTTTTTCCCTTGGGCAAGTCTAAATCATTTGAGCCAGGCCAACTATGCAATTCATTATATGATTAAGTAAAACAATATTGACGTGGCTTTAATTTTGTCTCATAATCTTTCTTATCCAATTTTGGCTCACTTTCACTGTTTTGCAGGTTGCAACTTGATTGACAAAGCATGGGAGAGCTTTCATGATGTTGAGTTGAAGGACAGAAGCTTGATATGGTACTTTTACAACTACCAACATTTAACCATTTCATTATGTATACTCCTTTCAAATACTTAAATTGAACACAATTTTTTAGGAACTCGGACTTGATAGAAACTATAGAGTTGGAAAACCTCTTGATCAATGCATGTATCACCATGCATTCGGCCGAAGCTAGGAAAGAGAGTAGAGGAGCTCATGCCCGTGAAGACTTTTCGGTTAGTTTAGATTCTTCAATCCTTATAAAATAGGTTTTTTCATCTTTTCTTTTCCCTTTTTATATAACCATAAGAAATTCTCCACTTCGCAGAAAAGAGATGACGAAAAGTGGATGAAGCACACACTTGGGTAACCATTTCTTCCCTCTCTTTACATTTGATGCTTATTACTCCTCGATCCCGAAATAAGAGTCCACATTTCTATTTTAGTTTGTCCCAAAATTAGTGTCCACTTTCAAAAGTAGCTGCCTACTTTCCAATTCTACCCTTAATTGTGAGATAAATAAATTAATTACACCCTTTATTATCTAGGATAATATTGTATTTAGTTAATTAAAAAGTATAATAATTTACATATTCCGACATTGCATGGCTTATTCACTGTTGACATTTATTTTGGGATGGGGGAGTAAAAAATTACCATACTCGTCATTGTTTAGGATTTTTCACAAGTGTTGCATCCAATAATTACAGCTAAAATACTAATTATAAGAACTCAAAAAAACTGAACATGGTTTCGTGAATTGGAAATTTGCTTACATGTATGGATTTTATTATATTTTGTGAATTCTTTACTAATACAAATAGAACGAAGGAAAATAGTCACTTTATATGAAGAAAACCGGGCAAAAGTTATGACTGGAAAACAGTCATCCATAGCTCTTGTAACCATAGCAACCATATTCTCAAAATATTTGTTCCAAAAAAACCGAGGCCGTTGTACCACTTCCAAAACCAAACTCCATATCTGACATCGAGTTGTATCAATAATGCATCACCCTACTAGGTTGCCATCGGGGTGTTAGGGGTTGATTTTGCCTTGATGAACTTAATGGACTTATAGCCGTTAAGTTATACAGATGTTTGATTATGACTTAATGCTAAACCAGTGGCTTAATGTTTTAAGCAACTAAAGTGCCTTTATCCATTCAGCCAATCTTTTTAGAAATATATCCTCTTTTCCCTTCTTTTTTCATTCTTCTATTTATGCAAATCCTTTCCCTTTCGTCTTTTTTTTTTAGTTTTCGTTGGCCAAATATGTTATTTTTGTTTTATTAACATCTTATCCACATTTGTTAAATTTGATTGTATGTTAATTATACATATCTTTCAATGGGAGGTTCAAATAAGAAGGGTAAATATTTGGGAAGGTGAAGGAAAGTTTCATATGTGAATCATGGAAACAATCCGTTTGAAGATGTATATGTGAATGTGAACCCATATGAATAATCTGTATTTACATATGCATCTTCAAACAAAAAATCGAATTTTTTTCGTGATTCACATATGAATCTTCTCTTAATCTTTTTCATTTATCTTCTCACGATATTTAGCCTTCTTATTTGAATCGACCCCTATCGTTTAAAACAATAAAATTTGATAATGTGTTGCTGAGTGCTAAAATACAATTTATGTCATTTAGACCATTTATTCAGCACACACAAAAAAGTCGATACATCTTAATCTAAACAGAGTGTAATTACCATCTAAATATAAAAACTGTGCCAAAATTGAATCTGCAGATACTGGGAGAACGAGAAGGTGCGACTAGACTACAGGCCGGTTCACATGAACACTCTGGATGACGAGGTTGAGACTTTCCCTCCAAAGGCTCGCGTATACTAACAATCTCGCAAACATTCAACAATCGGTCGGTGAAGAAACGACTTGCAACAAAAGGTTAGCAATAAATTATTTGAAAGTGCAAAGAGATTTGTTAATAAATTGTTGCATTCATTAAAAATAGTTGGAATTGTGGTGCAACCCCAAAGAAAAAAACCTGCATATGAAGAGCCTTTTGAAAACTTGGCCTTTGTTGTATCTTATTATGTTAGAGAAGAGTTGGTGTCCTTTTGCTATTGGTTTATAATCCTCATTTAAGCTTTTATGCTTCATGGAAGTAATAAGATTTGTCTTATTGAACTTGATATTCATTCATTAGCATGCCTGTGTTGCTAATGCTCTAAATACACACCTACCTACCGACTAATTTCTTTCTCATATACATTGGCATCAGAACTTACTTTTATATTTACTTTTATATTTTCAATGTATGAATTGACTTGATTTTGATATAAATAGACGTGCATACAACAACACCCTTTTGTTCCATTGGTTTCAGTATGGTATGGTGTTTTTTTTTCCGGGTTAGAACGATTGGGGTTGTTTGTTGTGCGATTTGAAAGTGATTATGTGGTATTTTATATAATGAAAATCCGAATAATCAATTTAAATGAAACATGATGCATGGGATAGTGTTTGAATGTATTCTTGGAGTTTAAAGTTGCAATACTTACTTTTGACAAATTCTCATATTTATAGAAATACTCCTTTCGTCCTAAAATAAGTGACCGGTGAACAATGTTCGCCAATAAACAAGGAACAATGTAACTTCATGATAATATGTTAAACACACATACAAATTTCATTTGTGAAGGACATCCATCATAATGTGTTAAACACACATGCAAATTTAAAAAGAGCCAAATTTTAGGAACAATGTAACTCTTATATTTTGTAAACATATTCTTAATAATTTGCCTCCACTTATTAAATATTTAATGACCATCAACCACGAACCAATGTGGATTCCTATTGGACCATTTTGGTTTGTATAGTTAACATAAAAGGTAAAGTTATATACACTTGGGATCATGTGAGACCAAGTTGTTTTCGTGAAACCTGTGAGACTATTTTTTCACCCTTGAAATTTCACAGGAAAACACTGTGAAGGTAACCTTCACAATGTTTTTGTTGTGAAGGTTCAAATTTTTTTTTTTACCTTCACAGTGTTTTTGTTATGAAGGTTCAGATTTTTTTACTTTCATTGTGTTTTGCTGTGAAGTTTCAAGTGTAAAAATGTGGTCTTATGGCGTCTCACGTGAACCCAATCGTATATCTATACTATATTATAAAGCATTTGACAAAAACTCTTAAAAAACACTTTTTATGCGTAAAGTACTATTTATTAATGCATATTACTTAAAACTCAAGATTACAAGTAGATTGTGCGTAAATACAACTTATTAAAGCTCCATATTTGAATTTGTGTAATTAACTGCAGATAAACATAATCAAA